CACAGGAACAGTGTTTCTATTTTTCCTATCCCTTTTTTGGGGGTTGCTATTTTGTCTAAGAACCCTCTTCGCTGCGCCATTTAGAAACTTCTGGACCCGCAAATCACTTAATCGATCTCGAAGATGTGCAGTTGTTGACACAGATTTTGGATCGATGTCTCCCAGCACCCCCCCACTCCTACGAGGAAGAGCATCACATTTCCCCAGGAGGTGCACCGAGGCCTCTCCATACTCCCCACAGAATCTGCAAGTATCCTCATTTTCCAGGCCCAACCAACTTAGGTGTCCCCTAAGCCTGTAGTGACCCGTGAAAATGCCGGTGAGGACTCTCCCCTGGTTCTTGCCCATCCCTACAATTTTGTTAAATCGCTTCTGCGATTACTACATACTATACCAACGAATAGTATGTGGTCCGATTCCGCAGAAGTGCTCCGGCCCAATAAGAAGTGTGTTTGCCCTCTTCCTTGCAAGAGCATCAGCGGCCTCATTTCCTTCCACGAAAACATGGCCCGGCACTCAAAACAGTGTGACCCGGTTGCATCTGCCTAACTCATTGAGCTTCTCAAGGCAGCCCCATACTGCCGCGGAGGACACTGAAACGAGTTTAGCGCTCCGATCGCAGCCCGGCTATCCGACATAATCACTATCTCCTGTCTCCGATATCCTCTTTCCAGGCTGAACCGCACACACATTTAAATGGCGTTAAAATCAGCCCAAAACACACTCGGAAAAGTTCCCACCTCCTGAAGCTGTACCTCCTTACCATGTCATCCCGAGGCATCGATAGGCACGGAACTTCCCCGACACGACGATCTTGATCTCTCACACCGATTATTCCGGCTCCATTTCTCCACAACCTGAAAATGGTAGCCTTCGCTGCCATCTAAACAAAAAAGTTGCAAGGAAAAATCACCTCCATTGCCGCCGTTGGACAAGTTCTCATAGCCCCTGTGATGCAGACGCGTGCGAATCTCTGCAATCGTTCCAGGTTGTTTCTAGCCGTACCAAGAGCCACCCTTCTTGCCTATGCAACTGCTCCATAAGTTAGGAGCGGCACAACCATCATGGTATACATCCACGACATGACAGACGGGGAGCAGCCCCACGACCTGCCCGAGATGGCCCCGCAAACCATAAGTGCCCGGGTTCCCCGTGCACACACAGCTTCCTAGTGACTTCGCCAAAGAAGCTTAGAATCAAACACCACTTCTGAGGCCCACAATATTGCACCAGGCCGGGCCACCCGTGATCCCCTTTGGACTATATCACAAAGAGTTCCCTCAAACTTACCTCTAGCGATGATGACAATATCATCCGCATAAGCCTGGACACCTATTCCCCGACGAAACAACTCATCAGGGAGTCAATCCACCACCAAACTCCACATTAGCAGGGACGGAACCCCACCCTGTGGGCATCCCCTGGCCACGCGCATCCTTAAGGTGCTCTGCACCACAGCAGTCTCTGCAACTCTCATAGCCAACATATTAGACATGCATAGAGAGGTGCTATCATTCACGTCCCTACGCCTAAGAGCGCCCGCAATCGCCTAATGAGAAGTGTTGTTGAAGGCCCCCTCTCCCTGTTCTATTGTGCTTTCTAGGGTACTAGCAATCGACCTCCCCGCCCGATACGCATGCTGGCAATCGCTCAGCAGCCTCCTCGCCAGCAACCCCCCCCCCCCCCCCCCCCCCGCCCCCCCGGACATGGTTATCAACTCAATAAGAACGATATGAGGCTAATCGGTCTGAATGACTTGGCCAACTTCTCACTTTATGAATAAAAACAACCTTAGCTACCCGCCAGGAATGTATCCGATACCTAAGTTACTCCTAAATATTTATGTTAAGAAAGGCATAATTAGCTCCAGCCCCCGTTGCAGAAGTGCTGGTGAAATCCCATCCACTCCCGACGCCTTGAAGGGCTGGAAAATGCCAAAAGCCCACCTTATCCTTTCCTCCGTAATTATGCGTGCAGCTCTCTGCCAATCCTCAGGATGTGGTATCTTGCATTCCCACGCCACGGGTCCGACATACGGAGTACTGCCGGGGAAATGAGTCTCCAGGAGGAGAAGAGCCCTTTGCTCCTCGTTCTCCATGTAGCCGCCATCCGGCCTCCTTAAAGAAACAGTCACTGGCACCCTGTTTCTAGCCAGGGCCCTATACAGTCTCGCAGCCGCCGGCGTCTCCGCTGTGCTCCCGCAGAATGATCTACAGCTTCTACGCTTAGCACTGCGAATCTCCTTTCTGTAGGCTGTCAAGTTCATCTTGTACTCTTCCCAAGTACCTTCTCGCTTAGTCCTATTGAATAGCCCGCCCCTCAGGTTTTCCAATCGCGAGGTCCACAAGGTGCATATGTGAAATCCCTTGGCACACTAATGGGGCAGTTCGATTCAAAAGCCTCGACCATAATTCCCTTCTAGGTCCCTTCTGTATCCCCCCCAGTTTGTACGCCTCGGATTTCTGAAGGAAGATTTCTCCTCGATCAACACGCCCAACAAAACGGGATAATTCTATGATCTGACATAGAAGCCTCCCCCGATACCTTCCAGTCGCGTACCAGAAACCCCACATTCGGACTGCCGAATGTGATATCCAGTACCTCTTCTCTAACCTTAATTACAAAAGTTGGGACATTCCCTACATTAAATATTTCTAGGTTTTCTTTAACTACAAATTCTAATAAAGACTCACCTCTAGTGTTAGTGTCGCTGCTTCCCCATGCAACGTGATGCCCATTCGCATCACAGCCCCTGATGTGTGGCCACCTTTTCCTATTGCACTGCCCCACAAGCCTCCGTACCTCCGGTGGCGGAGGGGATGCTCCATCCCCCTGAGAGTACGCTGATATCTCCAAATCCTTGCTCCAACATTAATGCCGGCCCTGACAAGTGTGAGGTCCCTTGTCATGTACTCTGGAAGTAAAATAAAGTTAATATTTTTTCTAATTAGAATGCAGTTCCTGGGTCGGTTCTGCCCGTAATCCCATACGACCTGCGCATCCCTAATTAACAGTCCTTTGATCTGCCACTTGCATACCCAGGGCTCCTTTATCACGGCTATGCCCAGAAGTTCCTTGGTGAACTTCCTTTCCAGAACAGCCGAAGCTGCTCTGGCGTGGTGGACATTCACCTGGGCGACCCTGGGGCCTTCGTCCCTCATTAGTTGAGTTGACTGGCAGGATGATCTTCCCCTGCCATCGGGACGTCATTTTCTGGGAAGGACTCCCTAAGACTCAGAAGAGTTTGCTCCAGGTCTTCCACCATCTCCTCCGTCGTTAATGAAGGGGGACGCCCCTCATCCGGTTTCATATTCCTCGAAAAAACCTCCCTCGTCCATTCATTCCTTTTTGGGATCATATGACTTCCGTGGCGATTCTTGCCGGCCCGCCGAGGATTCCACCAGCCCCGTTCTTTCAGGCTGCCCATTCTGAGCCCGTGTACAGAGATTTTCCCGAACCCGTACCGCCAAATGTGGCCGCCCCGGCTCATGGCTTCCGCGGAAGGGTATGGGGTGCATTCCCATATTCCTTCTTTCAACCGTCTTCCTTCTTTTGGCCTTCTCTTCTTGGGTGTCAAGGACTCACGTCCGCGCTTGCACCCAATTGTTTCATGAATCTAACTTTATTATTTTTCTGAATATTTAAAATTTGATTATGGAGTTGTATGGCAGCTATCTAAACCTGTCAACCTATTTCATCAAAACTTCACGGATATACATATGTAACCCGAAATTGGACACACAACTGCCAAGTTTCATGAATCTAACTATAATATTTTCTCAAATAGTTAAACTTTATTTTTGGAGCCATTCCACTTCAGGATAAAATTTTCAGAATATTTGTATATAAAATGTAATTGGAAACATCTTTGCAAAATTTGATATTAGTTTTTGAAATATTCAAAACAAATCATTTTGAGTTGTATGGCAGCTACCCGAACCCGTTGTCCGAATTAGCCCAATTACAATAGCAGCCGTCCTTAGCAAAAAACAAACAACTTGTGAAAGTTTGGTGTCAATTGCATCATACGTTTTTTAATTATCGTATGATCGGACGGACGGCCGTGACCAAATCAACGCAGAATTTTACGCTGAGCAAAAAACATGTGTACATACATATTTATACATACATATTATGTCCATGCCGAAGACGACTTCTTCAAGTGCTTACAAGCTAAATACCAAAGTGAATACAACCTTCACGATGGAGCAGGGTATAGAACGTCTGGTGTAATACTTTGTGAGAAAAATGAGATAAAATGATAACGCCATAGTTTGCTTCATGTTTAAAGTTTCGTAAAGTACAATTTACTGTTTTAAAATAGTTTTACATGATAAAGCTATCAAAACATATATGTATATACATATGTATGTTCTTCCTATGTTCTGTCTGTTTTTGATAAATATTGTGAAATTTTACATTTACTAAGTTTTGTTAATAATAAATTGGTAAAATATAAAAAAATGCTACTTTGTATAGCATTACAATACACCGCAAATTCTTTAACGTCAAAATTTTGTTTTCAGTCTGCAAACTGTCTGACGTATAAAACTTTTACGGAAAGAAATGTAGTAAACTTTTTACCCGTAATCAACTTTGAATTTTGATCATCCGTAAACGTCAAAACAAAAAAAAATTTTTTTCAGATTTAAAATAATTTTATACTTACATATTAAAAATTAACAAAAAAAATATTTTTTATATTATTTTTAACGTAAGTCACTCAATACATCAAATTTATTTACTCAGACAACTCAGATTTTGTCAAATTTGACGTTTAAGAATTTACCAATAGTCTTTATACACTAGTGTAAAAAATATAAATAATGTAAGTATTAAAAAATTTTCATTTTACAATAAATTACAATATATTTGATGACTCATTTTCCATCTACATTTCAAACTAAAAATTTCGAAAATTTGTATTTTATATGTTAATTTTTCTAGGGGTGCTATGTTTACTAAAAATTCGTTCTAATCTTGACATAACAAAAATATATGTCAGCCATGGTTCAAATTAACAAGTGACTGATACTTATTTATATTGTCTTGGATTTTGTTGAATAGGTTGTCATTTGTCAGCACCTGATTTGGAAAAACAAAATTATTTTAAGAGGAGCTAAAAAAATGGCTATCTTAAGCAGCCTATTTCGATCTTCTCATTTTCAAAACACCAAGCGAGATTTGAATAAAATAATTTATTCTTTAATATTTAAAAGCCATGGTAAGACAATTTTATTTGTTAATATGTGTGCACATATAAACTAAGTTATGCAATAATTTACTTCCTACAAAATAATGTTTCAATATTTTTCAGTAAATCAAACTAGAAATATGAGTGGTGGTCATCACCATTTTGCTATTCAGCCTTCTAGATTTCAATTCAAAAAATTTAAAGATCTACTCCATTATTTTGTCATGTTAGGCGTAATTCCAATCACTGCAATTGTAATGTACACAAATATATTTATTGGACCAGCTGAGCTTCGAGAAATACCCGAAGGTTATGTTCCGAAACACTGGGAATACCACAAGGTAAGGGTTTTTAATTTGATATATATTTGAACCAATTGTAATCCTTTAAGCATCCAATCTCACGATTCCTGGCTCAATATGTTTACCCATCACCCCAACAAGAATATGAGAAAATGTGTCACTTTTTGTACGAAGAAAACGAGAAGGCGCAACTCAGGTAAATAAGTTAATTATTTTTTTATGTTAAGTTACAGTGATTTTTTCTATAGGAAACTCGAAGCCCAAATCAAAGAAAAGATGGCTTCCCGGAATGATTATCAAGCATATTACTACAGACCTGCTATTGCTAAATATCACAGAATATCCAAAGAAGCTGCAGATTATCTTGAATCGATTAGAGGAGATAATTAATTAATTTCAAATTTATGTATTTAATTCAGAATAGACCTTATTAGAAAATCCACAAATACTATTTTTCCTTTAATAAGTAATCGTTTCGTTAAATAAGCGTAATGAGACCGACACGTTACTGCGAAAGTAGCCGTAATTGTACGGCTAAATTAAAAATACTTTAAAAGATAAGCACATTTTTCGATTGAAATTTTAATTTTAATTAGCGTTTTTACAATATTTTAATTTAGATATACATATATACTATAGATATATAGATAATACTAGCATAAGCAATTTTAAGCAACAAATTCAATAATCTGGGTTCAAATAATCCAACATATACATTAAAATCAAAGTAAGATATATTTTTAGCCCCACGCCTGATTTTTACAATAGTATAACACTAATTTTCCGTTAGTCCCATGACACTCGTACAAATTTTTGACTAGTTGATCAGGAGAAGGAGCAAAAGTTTGGTTGACGTATAAAAACTAGAAAGAAAAATGGTTTCAAAATTTAACAATTACTTATTTCGTTTAATATAACTTACTATTTTTTCTTCGGGATCAAGTTTAAGGTATTTATGAACGAACTTTTGGATCCAACATATAGGCTTCTCTTGATCCACCGCCCATCGCCTTTTTTTCATTATGGGAACGTTACCTGTAGCGTTTAGTAAAATATCAACTAAAACAGAATATTTTCATAGAGTACTTTGCTAATAACTACTTTTAAAACCATCTCACTTTTGGCAGGTAAAGCTCCATTTGTTGGATTCTTCTGAACTCCAGTTGTTTCATCTGCTCCGATATTGGCACTGTTGCTTTGAATTGATTCTGCATCTGCCATTTTCAAAAAAATATATTTTATTAATATTTAAGAGGAATAGACTTGATTCTAAAAAAAAAATAAACCAATAATCAAACTCGATTGATATCGAGTTTTTCAAAAATCGATTAATTCGCTTAAGATTACCTATACTATCGAGATTAAGATTTCTAAACTTTTTTTGCCAAAAAAAGTGAGAAGAATGACTTCTGAACGGAATTTCTGAAAAACCTCTATTTTATTCATGAAATTTTAAGTTGTGAAATTTAATTAAATAGAATTTTTCTAAAATACCATTATATGCTGAGACACGTACACTTTAAGTACAAATCAGTACTAAACTAATATCAAGATTAATATTAATACAATAACTTATAATAAATAAAACAAAATTTCACTCATCTTTATTTCAATATATTGGATCTGTTTGGTAAAAAACTTTAGAAAGAGAAAGCAGTGACGGAACTTATCGAAAAAATAAAAATTCTTATTTCAAAAAAAAATTTTAACCAGACGGAAAAGTTGAAAAAATTCCAAAAAATAAAAATTTAATAATTACATTTGTAAACCTAAAATTTCAAAATATTTATCAAACGAAAACAAATGTTTTTTGATTTCCGAAAAACTAAAAACCGAAAATTTTGATTTTGGATGAAAAAAGTGTGAAACTTAGAATAAACTATTTGTAAATTAGTTTTTTTATTTAGTTTCATTTTTAATTAAAAAGTTGTGAAAAAAATTATTGTTAATGAACATTTCTTTTTCTTAAAAACGTTTTGACATAACAAAGAAAAATATATAATGTTTTGAAGCTCTAAGATTTCGAAAAGTTTTTAAAACACTAAATTTTACTTCACAAAACTTGGAAAAAACTTTAAACATTGAGAAAATGAAAACGTCATCATTTTCTCTCATATTTGTTTTTTCCAGAGTATTAAACATAATATTTATAAAGTTTTTAAATTCTTTCCATAGTGACAGACCATTGTTAGGCATGAAAAAAGAATAAAAATCAATTTTCTCACAATTCACTAATCGATTTTAATCGCACTATCGCCTAAATTGATTTCGTGATTTCCGATTCTGTTCGATTTATATAATAGTCATTAATGAATAAGTATAGCGCTCTCCTCAGATAAAAAATGTCAGGTCAGTAAAGTTACATTCAGATCTTCAGTTAAAAATTTACCTTGGAAACAATATAGGCTGTAAAAAATTTAAACAAATTGAAATTCATTTATAACAAACAAAATTTAACGGAAGACATTTCTATATTTTAGTTAGAATAATATTTTATATTTTTTAGTTTGAATTTGTGGGCTAAAAGTAATGCAAATTTTAAAGAAACTAGTAAATTCGAGAATTCAGACTAGAAATAAAGCTGGATTCATTGGTTTGTCGTTTTTGAGCTGAACTATTTGTAGTCGAACTTTTTTTTCTCTTTATTGTTCATTGGTTCGTCTGATGAAAGCTGATTGCTTTTTTTTATTATGATGGATTTATTGCTTTTTTGACAAGAATTATATAATATAATTGTAATAGTTCAGTATACGTAAATTTGACGTTTTAAAAACCCTCCGCACTAAAATTGAAGTTGATTCAACTTTTTGAGAGAAAAGCTATACTAAAAATAAGAGAATGCCAAAAACTCAAATTTTCATACAAAATATATCAGCTCGTCTATCTATTAATATAAAAATTCATAATTTTTTTCTAAAATCAAACATTTCTAAAAAATATGATAATTAAATATCCTACCCGCAATATTTTCAATACCTAATTCGCTTTTGATTTAGTATTCCAGTTTTTATAATTTATAATTAAATTATTCGTATTTATATAAAAAATAAAAATAAAATTCAATTAAGCCTAACCTTAGTATTATTTCTTCTTCTTTTCATTCCTCTTCTCATAGGACATGGATGGCAATTAAAGGGCACGCGTGCCAAACTTGGCACGGAAAAAAAATTTGATGGCACGTTATAGTTGTGCCTCGACAAATTTTTATATAGATTTTTTTTCTAATAAAAAATCTAAAAACTCGTTGAAAAATTGATTGAATGAAAAATTTCCTAAAAATGATAATTTCCTAATAGCGAAATGACAAATATTCAAAACCAAACATATTCAAATGTTATATTCTTTTTATTTTTGTTTTTTTTTCACTTCACTAACCCAGCATTTACACGTACAAGTTACTTGCAAGAAAGTTGCAATACATACAAAAATTTTACTAACACATTGAAATATTTCTACTTGCTTGTTTACTTGCAGTTCAACTTGCAAGAAAATTTTGCTGCCAGTAATTTGACATATTGAGAATTTCTTGCGAAAGTCTTTTTTCCGTTTTGAATCATGTACATTCAAAGACTAGAAACAGATTAACAGAGGAAGATTCGGCAGCATGTATTACTCTGCAGTCAACAATGTACCAGCCCGACATAAAAACTCTTGCAAGTAATATGAAACAAAAAGTTTCTGATAAAAAATTAAATTAATATTTTTTCTATCTGTATTTATTAATTTTTATACCTTGAACTATAATATGTATAAATAAATATTATTACAACTTGTCATAATATTGTATTTACCTAACCATACCTGTACTTGGTACTGTGCTGGCACGGGAAAAAGTGTGACAATAAATTTCCCCAAATTTTGGCACTTTGATCAAACCCTATTTGCCATCCCTGTCATAGGAGATTGGACACCATCATTTTACAGGTGTTTCTGGATCTGACTCTTAACATGACTTGATTGAAGGGAAGATTGCACCGTTCTGCTATGTTCTTGGGCCATGATTTTTTAGCTCATCTCCTGCTTCTTGTACCCTGCATTTTTCCTTGCAATACCAATTGTAGAATGTTATACCTCTCACAACTCATGATGATACCGAGATACCCGAGCTTTCTCACCTTTATAGATACAAATAGCTTTTTCTCCGTATCCATCTTCCTTACAACCTTCACGTTCGAGACTCAATCCTGCCATGAAATATTGAGTAATCTCCGATAACACCACAGCTCGAAAGCTTCAAAATGATTTAGTTTTGACTGTCTCAGGGTGCGGTCTCCATTCCATACTGCAGTTGAGGCCACACTTACCACTTCACAATCTTAACTTTCAAACTGAGGTGTAATTCTCCAGTTGTAATTATTTTTGCTTTATAATTATTTATCTCTAGCTTGCTGGATTTTTGCGCGGATTTCCGTTTTACTAGAAGCACTGGCTTCGATAATAGTACCCAAGTATTTCAAGGATCTCACTTTTTCTATTTTGTTCCTGTCGAACCACACCCGTTGCTGCCTGCACTGTTTTTTGAGAACACCATATATTTGTTTTTTTTTTTACATTTATTTTTAATCCATAGTTTATGGATTGGGTATTTATGACATCAAGTAATTTTTGCAATTCACTTGCGCTATTTGCTATTAATACGAAATCATTGGCAAAATGAATGTTATTAATTAGTTTTCCATTTATACTAACTCCCGGACTATTTCATCCTGTATATGTTTAAAAATATGTTTAGCATACAAGTTGAACAGCAACGGAGATAGTATACACCCTTGTCTGACACCTTTTTTTATCATAATTTCTTCAGACAACCTATCCGCTATTCTTATCGCAGCTGTTTGATTCCAATACAAATTCATTATGATTCTTATGTCTTTCTCGTCTAGATTAACATTTTCCTAGATTTCTATCACCTCTTCATTCATTGCAGTACTTCTTTGCACAATTGTATTTAACATAACTAGTGCTTTTCTAGTTCCAACTGCATTTCTAAATTCAAATTAAGTATGTATCACTAATATTTTTTTCCAACTTTCTAAAAACTCTGCTATGGATGACTTTCAGAAATATTTTTAGTGCTTGTGATACTAAAGTTATTGTTTTGAAATCTTTACATTTGACGGCTTTACTCTTCTTCGGCATGGTAACAAAAGTCGATTTCAGCCAGTCCTCAGGTATACTTCCGAAATCATATATGTACTTTATTGAAAAATTTCGCCAGTATTTTTAAACTGTTTTCATTTATGATTTTCACAATTTCGTTAGGAATATTGTCTGGTCAACCGCAAACCCTTTCTTTGCTCAATTTAAAACTGCCTTAATTTCTTCCGCTGATTTTTCCGACCCGTAAATACACAATTTTTCCGATATGTCTGGTCTCATCTTCAAATAATCTTTCTGCAGATCTTTCCCACATTTTTAATCTGTCAACCGGATCTGTGATGACCCTGTCGTCTTACTTTTTTAACACGTCTACGCTATTTTTTTCTCTGAATATGAAATTTTTTTTAACTTTTTGTGCAGATGGTCACTGTTTCCAAGTTTATATAATGCTTCAGTGCTTTCGCCTGTCTAATTTTTCTTTTTATAATTTTATTCACTTCTTTGTACTTTGGTTTATCGATTTGTTTTCACTTCCTTCTTTCTTCCATCAGGTCTAGTATTTCTTTAGTCATCTATCCTTTTCTAGCTTGACTTTGTTCTGTATATTTTAAATCGTATAAAGCCCTGTTGAACAACCTTGAAACTTAGCCACGCATTATTGCGTTCATCATCTCTATCAATTATAACTTCCATTATTTCTAATTCACTGTTAATTTTTTTTGCTGTTCTATCTCTATTTTTGGTGTTTTAAAACCAAGGCAATGTATTTGCCGTTAAAACACTTTGAAATGAAATTCGTTAAGGTTTTAAACAAACAGCGGTTGTATTTGATTTAATTTCAAAGCCACACTATTCTTTGTGAAGAATACTGTTATCATTAAGAAGGAATAAATACAAATTATTTTTTCCATATTTTAAAAAATTTATAAGAGTGTAAATATCACAAATATTGGACGATAGATAGAAGAAGAATTTTGTTTCCATCTTTGAAAGCCGGTGTCTTTCATTAAAAACCGGTGAATCACTCACCCTTTTTTAATGAAACAGAAAAACATAATGTTTCAGAGAAATGAATCAGAGATCGCAGAATTTTTTGATAAATTTAGTTGAGATTTTATTATACCCCGCAGCTGCAGTAGAATTTAAAGACCCGCTAACCTTTCTTACTGTTAGTTTGATGCAGGGAAAAATTTAAAAAAATATTTGGAACCAAATTGCTCATATACAGCATACCGATTGGATTATTAGGAATATCAATTTTTTCCGTAGAACTCAAAAAAAAAGTTATTCATTTCCTCAACTATATAATTTTTATCAGATATGCAACGGCCATCAACTTTGATTGAAAATTGATCAGCGTACTTTTTGTTAAGAAATATATTTTAAACTAGGTATTTTCGAATAAATTAGAAATGTTCATATGGTGATTTGGAATGTTTGTAAAATAAAAAACGATTAAATACAAAAAATATGCAGAAATTATTTTATTTCATTTAAATATTAACAAAATTAAATTTCTTGTTTTTAGAAACTAGTTACTTATTACAGGTAACAAATTACATTATATTAAATAGGTAACAAGATATTTTTGAGGTAAAATCAAAATAGAAAATATATAAAAACTTACATATAACATATTTACATCAAAGAATAAAATTTTTAATCCATTTTTTTTTAAACTAGTAACATTTTATGAAAAAACCAATAAATTTTATGACGTAAATGTACCTATGTATTCAACTAAATTCACAAAATTTTTTAATTTTCTTTTATTAGAGATTAAATTACATACTTATTTAAATTGTTAAAATCTTAACATTAGTAGGTAATTGATTAAATTATACTTGCCAACGGCAACAGAATAAAATTTAAAGCTCTTACAAATTAAAAATACTTCGTTGGTGTCGAATCGCTTTTTCTTAATGCTCGTATGCATTTGTCCCTGATGACTTCGTTCTTTGGCAAAGTAAATGAGGGTATAGCATTTACGTTCTCCTTTTCTCGTAGACTATTGCTTCTGCATAATTCGATGCAGCACATTCGGGGCATTTCTATTTATATGAAGGTAATCAAATATACTATTATATTTTATTTAAATATGATTACAATAGAAACTTTAAAAAGTACACCGAATCTTACTACCTAATAGATACATACATATGTCCAGGTGGTGTCATACACGGCGTCCGTGGGGTCCGCGCGTTAAAAATTTCAGAGCCCGCCGTACCCTTTGTTAAAATTTTAAATGTTTTTGTTAGCCTGGCAATTTTATCATTTTATGTTACGATTTTATATTTTATATTTTTTTTCTCTTCTTTATTATAGGGAAAAAATTAAAACAATATTATACTTGATTATTCCGAATAACCAAATATAATATTTCTCTAACAGATTTATTTTTTTTAAAAGATAGATAAGGATTTCAAAAATAGTTCAATTTTGAGAGCTAAAAAGAATTTTAAATGTAATTGCTGTTAACTCAGCTAAAGACGAAAGATATCATTTACGATAAGGGAAATTCCTTATCAATTGAAACAACTAGTCAATTAATAACATTAGGTTTAATGGGTAAATCAATAGAAGATTTTGATACTGCACCATACGTAAAATTATGATTGCGACAATCAGTTTCCACTATGCCTATGTTTCCACTTTCTATTTTGGTATTTCAATAAAATATAATATGCAGTAATTATTTCATAAAAAATATAATATCGATAGTAGCTTTTTTTAATTTTTACGTTACTTATTTTAGTAGTTAATTGTGGGGTAGAGTGGTAAAGATCAGGACTTAAGTCGGTTAGCAAACCCATTGTTAAATATTTTGGATGACACCACTGCATATGGCATTATGTAATCGGATAGTTCTCCTTTTTTCCATCAGATTTCTTCTAATGTTATATTTTGATTACATATTATATTCAGATTTAATCTGATTTGTTAATACATCTAGAGAAAAAAATAATTTCAAGGTCGATATTAATTATAAACACCTTTTTATTATTTTATGTCCATATACTTTTTAGGGTGAAAGGTTTTTCCGCAACAAAATATTATTGTAATAATTAGAACTTGTAATTTTCAACTAGACAATTCAAAAAACGACTTTAATAATTAGAATATAATTTATTTAAAAAAACATGAATTTTCAAAACAAATTTTTCGTCAAAATTAGTATATACATATACAATTAGATATATGTATACATATATGTAATGCATGAAAGCAACTAAATGATGGTTTTTATTTTACCTTAACGTGCCTCAATTTTGGCTTTTTTTGGATTAAAATCGTGACAAACAATTATTTTTCAAATATTTCTCATAATTTTCGGCACATTTTATATAGGTATACATATATATATATTTACTTAAGTTTTATTCAATCATGTGTATTGAATCAACTTCAGTGTATTCAAAATGTTTTTGTTTTTCTGAACTATGTATGTCGTAATAATTTTCCAAAACGAAACGCTCCTTTTCGAATATCTTTTCGGTTTCTTCTAAAACATCAGTCTCTTCTTTGAATTCAGATTTAATAATAGATCTGCGTTCCCGGATCTTTTTATCTTGATTTTTATCGAATTCGTTGATATAGAATAAATAATTTACATAGTCTGCAGGTTTTTCAAGACTATATATTGCGTTTATTTCATATCCTAAAACTTCGGGAATCATAAAACAAAATAGCCAGCCGACAAGTGGCGTTACACCAAAAGTGTAACTTGCATCTTTATGATAAAACAAAAATCCATCCAATAGAGGAAAATTCTCGGCATAGTGAGGATATTTATAAAAATTCATTTTTATCGCTTCCTCATCTTCAAAATCAACCCAATCAATAAGAATAAAAGTGTAGGATGAATCACTGTCATTGTAATTCATGTTTTCATCTAATCTACTCTTCAACCAAAATCTCCTAAATGTAGCATCACAGTGTTGCAAATTATAATTACCTAAACAAACCACATCAAGTACAAAAAATCTTTTAAGTTCTCTACAGAAAATGCAGTCAAGTATACTAAATTCATTTCTTAGGACTCCATCTCCAGGAAGTTTAGAATGAAAATAAAATATTCTCTTTCCTTCTTTATTATAAACCTCGGTTATGTTATTACAGGCCACAATAAAGCATCTTTGACCTTTCGGACACGGTACTAAGAACCACCTATTTAGGTTATCTGGTTTTTCTTTTAACCATTCCGAAAATTGTAACGAAAATGGAAAATTATACTTATTTTGAAACAACACTTTTTTTCCACTATCCTCTTTTACTCTTTCCGCTATCAGAAATTCTTTTAAAAAAAGTCGTTTATGGTCTTGAAGTTTTGATCTTTCTAGCTTTTGGTCCTTCAAAGCTAATTTCCTTCGGTCCTCTTGCCTAGTTTCACGGTTTTTAGGTAACATTTTATATAAATCTTTGTATTCTGATTCATTTTCCATAGTTAATACTTAATAATAGTAAATAAAACTGCGAGTACTATTACCCAAATACGTACCTAACCCATTTAATTATTTAAATATTTAAAATTTACAGAAACGTTGCGTTCATTCAATAGCGAAATTGATTGGATGTGAATGAATGTATTTTTGATCAATACCTTTTTCTATGTTTTGAACAACGATTAGAAATTCTAAACAAAGAAAGTACCTTGAAAAACAATGAAGTCAAATTCTTTCTAGTTGTTTCTTTCTTTGTTACAAGTATTGTCAAAACCGTTTTGAATAGGACAGGAGCGTGTTTATTTAACTTTTTTATTCGACCTCTACTATAAATACATATTATGCATAATTTGTAGATTAAAATTTTTTTAAAAATTAAAATAAATAATATTATACAATATTTTTAAAATATTTTTTCATTTTAAATATCTATAAAGAATTTGAAATATTTTGAATAAATTAATTTTATAAAGTGAAGTAAAATATATATATATTTATATTTAGTACCGCCTTGGGTGTTAATTGCAAAGAACTTTTTTTTGATGACGATTATATTAGCAAAACATTTTTCAATTTAAGCGAAGTTTCGTTATTCTTTTGAATTTCGGATACAAATGAATCCAAAACAATGGTTTTTTTTAACAAATTTTAATTAATTTTTTTTTTTATTACTCACTAAAGAAATGGTATATTGGCGTATACCTCCTCAATAATTAGCTTCACATATTTATTCTTTCTAGAACAATATGTTTTATAAACAACTGACACTCATATTTTTTTTACTTTCTGTATTCAACAACAATACAGCAACATCTTCGACACACGACATCTTCGTATATTTCTTTATTGACCAAATCTTCACTCTATAAAGGGAAATATTAAGAAAACAACCCACACTAAAAAAAATATTATCTATACAAATTATGTAAAGCATCTGATACATAAATTTTTACATATTTATTTTTATATTTTGCATCAAAATGTTATGAACATATGTATAGTACTATTTGAAAAAATATTTGAAATAAAAACTTCTTCAGTCTGCTTTTTTTACTTTTCTTTTTGTAAGCCACTTAAAACTGTAAATATATAAAAAATGGTCCATTATATATATCGTATGTATGGGACATCTTATTAAATGCAAATTAATTTGGGGTTTCCTGTTACCACAGCCTAGCATAAGCTACTCAACGTCATATTTCACCTCACCTACAAGTGGTCCTTCCTGTTACGCTGAGCAACCCCTATGAAAGATCTGGTTCCAACCCAGGTGGTGTAATTCTGGTCTGTTAGCACACGAGATTGGCGGTTAAGCAGAGCTTAATTCGGAGCAAGCATCAAAGCTTAATTCGGAGCAAGCGGCTAGCTTTATAAATGTGCATTCAAATTCATTGCTTTTTTGTAGGAGTACATTAACACCGAGAACTCCACCTAAAATATTATCGAACGATACACCCTCCGCATGTTATCAACGTTTATCGGGGTCAGCCAGGAACACCAAATACAAGGCTGAAAAGAGGATTAGCCAACAACTCCCGGGTATCAATAACCAACTTGGATCCCGGGTATTCAGAAAAGTCGAGAGCTTTAGAAGAGGAAAATGAAAAACATCGACAGAAAATAATGTTAATGGAAGAAATACTTGCTACCATGAAGAAAGAAATCAACGAAATGAAGGCTGAAAATGCACTCCTAAAATCCTAATTCAAAGAAGCTAAAAACAAGCAACCTGTCGTTCCGTCAAGAGTAGTGAGCTCAAGTGAGAAATCTGATATTACGGGATATGACTCAGAGATGAAGCCGATGACTACACATAGAGATAAGAGACCCTGTAAGAAGAGAAAAACGAAATCATTACCAGAAGTGAACACAACAAGCAGTAAACAATCAGCCAGTCCAAATTAGTACTAAACACCGAAAATGACATCATCACCAATCAACAAGTGAGGTGGACAAAACGTATGTACACAGGCTGCCCCCCATTAATATTGTGGGAATAGTCGACTATTCTAAGCTGTGCAAACTATTAAACGTAACAACGTGTTTAAAGTCAACAGTGAAAGTCCATCCAGTTATCGCAGCTTAGTCAAAAAGCTAGAGGAAGACAAGATTCAGTGGTTTTCTTATGAAGACGAAAACGATAGACCGATAAAAGTTATGGCCAGAGAATTACATTGACCATGTCAAAAAGTTGACATAATTAACGATCTTCAACAGCAAGGCTTCGAAATAAAAGACACCACCAATATAATGAAAAAAGAAAGAACAGGAAATGATAGAGGAGATATCGTCGTCCAACAACAAAAACTTATCCTTGTTTATGCTAACGTTTGATAAGAATCAAAGTACTGAAAAAATATATAACTTCAAATCTATTCTAAATCTAAGAGTCAAAATTGAACCAGTGAGGAAAACAACAAAAGCTATACCACAGCAAAAAGGATCCAAGATGCGTAAAATGTGGTGCAAATCATTTCACTTCTGCTGGCAATAAAAGTCGAAACGTTCCTCCAAAATGTTCTAACTGTAGTGGAGCTCACCATGCCAATTATAGGGGATTGCGAGGAAACTTCAACGTAGAAGGAACATGGCAATAAGTACACGGCACAAAACTACGGCTCTTTCAAGAGCTCCATTGGTGACTCAGGTTCAAGAAAGGGGTGTCGGGCCGCCCTTGACAACCAAAACAATTAAGAGAAAGGTAGTTCCAATGGCAAAATCAAACAAAAGATTTACGCTCAAGTTGCTGCAAAATCTACAACAGACGAAATTCTACAGCTTATATTAAAAAAACTTGACGATCAAAAAATTGCTGAAAAACAATTCAGTGATGAAATGCCAGACCAGAAAATAAAATAAATACAAGACTTAATAAAAGATGACACAATTTCTTAGAATTATGACATGGAATGCTGATGGTCTTCCGCAACATATGCAGGAACTTGGAATCTTTCTCAACAAAGAAAAAATTGACGCTTGCCTGGTTACAGAAACCCATTTTACCAAAGAAAGTAACCTAAAAATTAATGGTTATTATAAGTACTACAGCGCAATACATCCTGATAATAAAGCTAAAGGCGGCTCGTCAATCTTTACCAAAAGTAATATTAAACATCAAGGACAGATTTGTGTTTAAAAACAAACAATGCAAATTGCTTCGATCAAAGTCAACGTTAAAAATAAGGAATTAATGATTTCTTCCATTTACTGTTCCCCACGCCATAATTTAAAAATAGTTGATTATAAATCAATGCTTGATCATATGGGTAAAAACTTCCTGATCGGTGGCGACTTCAATGCAAAAAATACTTTGTGGGGGTCCAGAATCACGACTCCAAAAGGTGGGGCTCTTTACGAAGCAGCAGCTGAAATCGGTTGTAGTTTCCACTTCACCAGAAAGCCGACTTATTGGCCAACAGACAGAAACAGAATTCCAGATCTATTAGACTTTTCCATAACTAGAGGAATTTCCGAGTATTATACATATATAATCGAAAGTTACAACTATAACCACTCTCCAGTTATATTAACGGTCTCGGAAGCAGTAATACTCAAAAGTGAATCATTTGCAAACTAACCAACCGGACAACCAAATGGGGCTTATTCAAAAACATACTTGAGAACAACACAGTGTTAAACGTACCACTAAGAACTAAATACCGACTTGAAGATGTGCTTGATCTATTCATAACAAATGTACAGGGCGCAGCCTGAAGAAGCTCCTCAGAAGTTAAAGAAAGGGGAAAAAATGTGATTTATCCTCTAGAAGTAAGGAACCTGATTGCCGAAAAAAGGAGAGTATGCAAAGTATGGCAAATTTCGGGTTTCCACAGGATAAAACGCGTGTGAATCAACTGGGGAATAACTAAAGAAACTTATTAATTTGTTGGAGTTTTCTGTAAAAAAAATATTGACTTACTTTCTGTCAGCCGTACATACAATGCAAAAAATTTGTTTTCTAAACAGTCAAACTTTAAGAGCTGATATTTTAATATTTTCCTAGATTGCTGTTAAAAAATATGTTTTGTAACTATTAGCAAAAACCATTGACAATATATGAATAGCTGGCAAATAGTAATTTTTGAAGGCAATATAAAATATGCTTTTTTATTTATGTACATTTTTATTTTTTACAGATATACATGCATATTTCAATTTTAAGCATACATTATTATTTTTGAAAAATTAAAATAAATTATTTTTACTTAATATTGCATTATATTATTATTTATGTGTACTACATAAGCAAACAAAATAGTTTTTGTTAGATGTTGGCGAGTATTTGTTTTTCTTAAATTCAATGTTAAGCGTTTCTCTTCATGATAAAATCTATTTTTACATACTTACATGAATCTTACATTTACATACTCAGATGCTATTATTCTTATTAAACTTAATCTGTGATTATGCAAAATCGAAACCATGAATATATCATTTTGAAAACTTCAAAATTATATGAAAGAGATAACGGGACGGCCCGGCTGAAAGAGAACCGGACGGGCCGGCTGCACCACCGAGAAATCGGTAAGCTGTTAAGATCCAAACAAAAATTTTACCCTTTTTGATGCCCTAAACAATGATATATAACATGGTGCTCTTTACTGAATCACCCAGTATATAAATATGCATTGTTTGAGAACTGTCACTCTCTCTTATTGGCCTGCACTGCTGTCGGGTGATATTATCAATCTTTAATTGCACTCTCATCGAATTAAGAGCCTGTTTTTATATCTCGTTAATTTACTCGCCAAGTAAATTTGATTGATTAGGATTTTAAAAAATGCTTTTTGCGTTTTCGTATAATTGTTCACATTTATCCGCATTAATTTTGAAAAATAATAAAAAATGTTGCTTCCGAAAACAAACCATCCCGAAAACAAAGCCAAAGGGGGTTCATTAGTGCTGATTAAGGATAACTTGGAGCATCTGCCAGTTATTGCAATAGAAAAGGAAACCATGCAGATTGCTTCAGTTATAGTGAGAGCCAAAAACAAAAACATTAAAATTGCGGCCATTTACTGTCCCCCGAAACATAATTTAAGACAATCAGAATATAAACAGATGCTTGAAGAGCTTGGCAACAGCTTCGTTATAGGTGGAGACTTCAATGCAAAACATGTCTTCTGGGGCTCCAGACTGACTACACCTAAGGGCAGGGCCCTCTTCGAGGTGGGCAATGAAATGAAATCTTTTCTCTCTACTGGAAACCCAACATATTGGCCTTCTGATCCCAAAAGACTGCCGGACATCGTGGATTTCTTCATAGTTAAAGGAGTATCTGAAAATTACCTTAGTATAGAGGGCAAATACGATCCAAATTCTGATCATTCGCCAATAATATTAACTGTAAGTGAAACGATTATCGAAGAACGGTTGACGATCCACCGAGGCTAACAAATAAATCAACTAACTGGACAGAGTTCAAAAACGAGCTAAATAATTCAATTAACCTTCGGGTTCCACTACAAAATGAATTCCAACTGGAAGAGGAACTCGACTTATTTGTCTCTAAAATTCAAAGCGCTGCCTGGAACAACACCACATTTAAAAATAAATTAACCACCAACAAGATAAACTATCCCATTGAGATCAAAAAACTAATCAAAGAAAAACGGAAAGCTCGCAAAACTTGGCAAATGTCTAGATCACCAGCGGATAAACAGAAACTTAACCTCCTAAGCAATAATTTAAAGGCTCTACTAAAAGATATAAGAAATCAATCCATCTCAAATCGGCTTCAAAATTTGTCAGCTGAACAAGATACGGATTACTCGCTGTGGAAAGTTACGAGGGATATCAAAAGACCACGAACTCAGAATCCACCTATCAAAAAAAACGACAACTCATGGGCTATTTCTAATCAAGAAAAAGCAGACGTTTTTGCGGACTACTTAGAAAATATATTTAAACCCTTTCCAGGACAATTCAACTTAGAAGCTACCCAAGAGTGTGCCTCACCTGAGACATTACGACTCCGAAGAATTACTCCGGGAGAACTAAAAAGAGAGATCAGCTCCACCAGAAATAAAAAAGCACCTGGATATGACCTGATCACAAGCGAGGTCCTGAAACAACTTCCACAAAATGCTCTGAAAATGCTCCTTTTCCTATGTAATGCAGCTCTTCGCTTAAATTATGTTCCACGCCAATGGAAAACGGCAGAAGTTTTGGTTGTGGTAAAGCCAGGGAAGCCAATAAATGAGATGACATCCTATAGACCCATTTCTCTCTTGCCAATTATGTCCAAGATTTTTGAAAGACTTGTTCTTAATCGAATGAAGCCAGTAATTCAAGAAAGAAATCTTATTCCAAGTCACCAATTTGGCTTTCGATGCAAACACTCCACCATCGACCAGGTGCATCGAATTGTTGATGTAATTGAGAGATCGTTCGAGGAAAAACTTATAAGTACAGGTGTATTCCTTGATGTCGCAAAAGCCTTTGACAAGGTATGGCACGAAGGCCTGCTATTTAAGATTGGGAGGGACTTGCCAAAGCCATTTTGCAAACTGCTTACTTCCTATCTTACTGACAGATGCTTCAGAGTTAAACAAAACGGCGAATACTCGAAACTGAAACAAATTAGAGCAGGTGTTCCGCAGGGGAGTGTCTTGGAACCTATTCTTTATCTCCTGTACACTAGATATATTCCTTTAAAAAGCGAAGTATTTACGGACACCTTTGCAGACGACACCGCAATTATGGTGACGGGAGATTCTGCTGAAGAATGTGTCTCCAGACTCCAGGAATCTCTTGACGAAATTAGATTGTGGACAAAAAAGTGGAGAATACAATTAAATGAAGCCAAATCTGTGCAGGTGCACTTCTCAAACCGTAGATTCAACCCGGTACCCGTTCAAATTAATGGTATTCAAGTGCCTATAGAAAACAATGCGAAATACCTTGGTATGAACTTGGATACAAGGCTCAGATGGAAGACTCATGTAAAAACCAAAAGGGATCAAATTAACCACAAATGCAGAAAACTTAACTGGCTTATAGGTAAAAATTCGGCTTTGAGCATACACAACAAAATTTTAATATACAATCAGGTCATAAAACCCATTTGGCTATATGGGATCCAACTTTGGGGGTGTGCCTCCAAAAGCAACGTGGACATCATTCAGCGATGCCAAAATAAAATTCTCCGAGCTATATTAGGTGCCCCATGGTACGTAAAAAACAAGGTTATACACCGAGACTTGGGAATTCCCTCAGTCGCAGAAGAGGCTAAAAGATTTGCTCGCAAACACTATGACAGGTTACTATTACACGGGAACATTAACATGAGAAGGATCTTTCAGGACATTGAACCTGTCAGGAGACTTAAAAGAAGGAAGCCGCACGATTTGCTGATATAGCAGTGAGGAAACGGAATAGCGTATAAGATCGGGTAACATCACAGGATGCGTGCCCACCACCCCCAGATTCAAAAGTGAAAAATGAATTGCTAGATGGGTCACTCTGACTCAGTTGCAGTATTAACAAAGAAAAAAAAAAAAAAAAAAATGTGTGTATTACAAATTCATCCATGTATAATCCAGCTTGTATGTTGTATGAAGCATATATGTATATACATACGTATATTTTTAAAAATTTTAGATTGATTCCGTTGCTAATTTGTAATGTCCTTTAATATAAAATTTTTATAGAAAATAAAACAAGCTTATTTGATTCTTACATCTGTTTACATGACGACTTTTGCATCAATGGCTTGCAAATATACCATTATACTTGTGTACACACATACATATGAGACTGTCTACAGACATGCAATTTTTGATTTGCAATAGTTTGATTGATAACATTTATTTTGGGAAATAAATTTTATTGAAAATATATTTTTCAAAATTTATAAAAAATCAATCGATGCACAACTTCCTTATTGCCATTTAAAAGGGTACTGATGAAAGAAAAATCAAAATAAATTTGAAATCGAAAAATTTTCATAGGGTAAGTTTACTCTAAGCAAATTTTTTTTTTATTGGAAATCTACCAAAAACTTTTTTATATTGACGAAAATACATTTTAGATATTTTAAATAATCAGTGTTAACTTGATAAAACTAACACTAGTTAAAACTGAACTCTGCCAAAAAAGTTGTTTAATAAAAAATGTATATTCGGAAATTGTAGCATGCCTATAGTTCTAAAGTGTTGTAAAAATTTTGTTTATATACTAATATTATTCCAAGTTAGCAAAAAATCATAGTGCAGAAATAATAATTTGTCACTATTGTTTACATTCTTGTATATACATACATATGTACATATAACTACTATCATTTAATCAATAATCTACAAAAATAAAATTTTTAATTATTAAAGGTCAACTATAATTATATAAAAAAATATTTTTAAGATTTCAGTTAAAAACCTAAAAAGGAAAAATTAAATGCCTTTAACTGTTCATTTCTCTTATAATATACGAAAATAAAATAAAAAAAAATTTTAAGCAAACGAAAAGGCCCTTCATCTTCAATAGTTTTTTTCAAACTAAAATATAATTTGAATAGAAAATAAATTGAGGAAAATCATACGAATTATATTGACGTTGATCTGATTGAAGCAGTAACGGAAAATTTTATTTATTTAATGAGGTGGCCTTATACTTATCAGCGCAGTGTTTCAAGAATTTATCTACTTGTCTCGTGTTGAATTTTACTTTGACATTTTGATAAGCAATAATAAAATTTATTCTACTCTCTGTAAATTGTATCAAAAAAGCCAAGTTGACGTAAAATCTTATTTTTGGTAAACGTGCTTAGATATTTTGCTAAATTTTAATTTTTTCGTATCTTGGTTTACACATTGTATACAACTAAACAACTTGTCATTTAATTTTTAGGTTTTTAATTTGTTTTTCTTTTTGAAGTATTTACCGACATCTATTGAGATACAATTTGAGAGTATCAATTGACTATGGATTACATTATAATTTCTACATATAATTTTTTATTGCATTGACTTTAAATTTTTAGGTGCTAGACATGAGATTTATTAATATCCTAAAAAGGGTGGATGCATATCCTAAAACTTCTGAGGAGGTTAGTGTCAAAACATTAATTGGGGCTACGGTTACTATCATCAGTTGTACTCTAATTATATTTTTGGCATTTTCCGAATTTTGTGAATATGCAAGTCCAAGTATAGTGGAAGAATTATTTGTGGATACATCAAGAAAAGAGACTTTACGGATTAATTTGGATTTAAGAGTGCACAGCATAGGCTGCAATTTTTTATCGTTAGATGCAATGGATGCTTCTGGGGACCAGCACTTAAGAATTGAACAGAATATTTTTAAAACTCGCCTTAATTTAAATGGATCTCCAATACAAAAAGAAACACCTATAAAAGAGATAGTTCAGACTTCCGCCAAAAATTCATTCAATGAGACATGTGGTAGTTGTTATGGCGCAGAACATAATAAAACTCATTGTTGCAATTCTTGCGAAGAAGTTATGAATGCTTATATAGCAAAGAAGTGGTCTGTTCAAATTGACAAAATTGAGCAATGCAAAGGAAATTCTGAAAAATTTCTTAAAGAACCAAACCCAATTGATGAAGGCTGTCAAGTAAGCAATATGAAACACTTTTGTTTTTTATTTAGAACTTTTTTAACAGATAAAGGGATTTATTGAAGTTAATCGCATGTCAGGAAGTTTCCATATAGCGCCAGGAGCAAGCTTTTCAATAAGTCAGTTCCATGTCCATGATTTCCGATACACAGACATTAAATTAGCACATACTATAAATCATCTCTCATTTGGAGAAAAACTAGGGGAATTTGCGAACACCCATCCGCTTGACGGCTTAGAAGTCAATTCAAAACGTGGTAAGTGAAACATTATTAACTCTAATTTTTTAAGCAATAATAAAACTTCCCTGTGACACAATAACATTTGAACAACAAGTTTAATACTTTGATCTATTATGGTAATATTTTGCTGTTTTAATTGAAAGAAGATTAAATATTTCAATACATTTCTATATATATGTATGTATATTACTTGATGCAATTTAGTTTTAATATAAATAGATGTCTATGTTACGAGCTAACATCGGATACCAGTTCCTACAATATTGACATGTTGTTCAAAAAAAATAATACAATTTAAAATTATTTTTCTAACCTATTGCCATAAAAGTTCCAAATGTTCCACCACCTTGTAACATTACTTTGCCAACATTATTGATCAGCTCCCTCCCGCGGAGGCCATACCTATGAATATTAATATTAATTTAATGTTAAAGTTTATTGAAATTATTTGAAATTTACATATGGTAATCATACCTCAAAGCAGAAAACCCTCCAAAAAGAGCTCCACTGGCCATTCCTACACAAAAGCCGATGGTGAATCCCATTTTCATTTTGTCGAAGCATGTAGGACCTTGTTGGTTACCATAAACTCCAGGGACTGGCATTTAAAAATTTTGTTTATATATCCAATTTTTATCAAATGCAATTTATCAAATTCGTATCTCTTAAAAAAATTTTGTCAATTTTTTTGACATTTCATTAAGCATGTTATAAATTATAATAAACCTATCATTTTTTGTTGGATTACTAAAGATATGTCATTTTTATTTTAATTAATCGAAATTAAAATCGATTCTTCAAGTATGAAATTCACAATCATTCAATTTTATTGAAAATCTCTAATTTATTAGGTGCTATTTACATAAATGGTGAATGCAAAGAGAAATTTATTGTATCAAATTTTTACGCCACAATTTAATCTGAGCTGCGTTAGATAATTTCAATTTCATGTGCAAAATCAAACTTTGTAGATTTAAATTTAATTTTCTTTATGTATAACGCCACCTTTGGCTTTTAAAATTGGCATATGACAATATGAAAATAAATTGATATGTATATGATTATATTTAAACCGAGAAAAAAGTTTCATCACTTTGTCGCAAAGAGAAAAAAAACTCTACCTTGTCGCAAAGAGAAAAAAAACTAATTCAAAAAAAGGAAATCAAACGGCGAAGTTGAAAAATAGGTTTCAACAAATATTTATCAAACCTAAATAAAAATTTTTTAGTTATACACAAAAATTTTCTCATAAAATATAAAAGAGAAATTCAAGAATTGTTTGTTGTGAATTCATTTTGTTTATTTCATTTTATTTATGATTAAAAAGTTTTGAAAAATAAAACCTTCTGACATAACTAAGAAGCATATTTCGTAACTATTTGTTCTTTTTTTGTTTTTAATACAGGTGTTAAAAATCATCGAAAGACAAAGATAGCAGGATCTAAACAGTCATCAGACCTATCCAACATTCTGGGCCTTTAACCCAACTTAAAACACATCTAGATGGTCATAAACTATCAAAACTAATCAAACTGACTAACAATTAGTTTTGTTCTATGGTTTTTTTGTGTCTACATACCGCGAACGAAGGCACGGAAGAGCTGTAACAGTACTTTAGGTTAAATCGGGAAGTCTAGTTTGTTTCAGTCTTTTTGTCAAAACCTTTTCCGCTATAAGTCGAGACGCCTCGACATTTTTTTTTTTTTCTCCTTTGTTCACTCCCTTGGGGAGCATAGGGCTTCCACATAGCCTCTCCATCTCACTCGGTTGCGGGCCAGATGTTTTATTTGTGCCCAGGTCTTGCCGCTTTCGATGATTTATTTGTCTATTGTTCGACGCCAAGTCATTTTCGGCCTTCCAACTTTACGTTTCCCTTGTGGATTCCACTCTAATGCTTGGCGCGATATCGCAGCCTGTGGTCTTCTTAGCGTGTGCCCCAACCAGCGCCATTTCCTTCTTTTTATCTGTAGCAATGCGGGCTCTTCACCTGCGAGCTTCCACAGCGCAGCATTTGATATTCTTCTTGGTCAGAAGGCTCCGCATATTTTTCTGATGCACTTATTAATGAATACCTGAACACTATTAATGCTGGACTGATTTGCGTGCCAGGTTTCACTCCCATACAACAGTATCGGCTTTATACAAGTTGCGAACAGCCTTAATTTGGTTTTTCTGCTCAGCCCAGACGATCTCCACGCAGTCCACATTCTTCCAAATGCTGCTCTAGCCAGCCTGATTCTATTCAAGATGTCTTTTTCTGTACCCCCTTGAGTAGTAATTATACTACCGAGGTAATTGAATTTATTTACATCTTTTCGACATTTACATGTTCCAAATGCGTCTTATGTTTCGTGGCACAGTTCGTTGTTTTCTCATTTACTTGGGGGCCATGCAGATCCTTATGAATGTCACTATTACGCACACACCAGGGAGCACCTACCATATTACGAGGGACTTTTTGCTGGGAAGTTTGTATTTGTTTGATGTTTGCTTGCTTGGCACAACCCCGTTGCTGCAAGCCATACGACCTTATAGGCTTTATTATTTGGGTATATATCAAAATCTTATTGCATGTTGTCAATCTAGATTTACGAGCCGTAGTTTTATCTGCATTTGTTTTCTAATTTTCCTTTTCTTTTCATGTTCTTTCCATCTGACCTTGGCATCCAAGGTCATACCTAAGTATTTTGCTGTGTTTTGGATTGATATTTTAACACTATTCAAGTTCAATTGCGGTGGGTTTACTAAATTTTTGTTTTGTGAATTTTATATGTATTGTATATAAAGCACGTATAATATGGACCCAGAATACTGGTTTAAAGGCAGAGCATTTATTATACCCTAATTTCCCTAAGCGTGGTGTACTCCCCATCCTATTTGGTTCGAAAAAGAATGTCAGATAAATATAATTCAAATAGCGCAATGGTATCAATTTCTTAAGTTTAATTAATAAACCAAATCTTAATGTCGCACCAAATCTTATTGAACGCCTGGGCCATATTGAAAAATATTTTCGAAAACTTTTACCTTTTTCGAATACATTTGCCGTTTTCGCAATATTTTTATCTAGGGCTCCAATCCACATATTTGAGGTTATAGTCTGTTTTCAGTAAGAATTTATTAAACTCACGCGCATAGGACATCCCTAAAAATATTCTTTTTTAATGTTAACAAGTTGAACTTTGTTTTTTGGATTCTTCATTATGCGTTAAGGTTTCCTTAATTTAAAAAAATATTAACTGCTCTTAAATGGATACCTGACTAAGTTGCCCTATGGTACATATATATAACATCTAAATCCTACCCCAAGTGTGTTTCTGACAACAGACATACACCGATATTTTTTAGGCTCTAAGGAAAGCCTCCAATTCGTGCTTTCTACCTACCAACTTATTTTTAATTTAGGCACCATTAGCGTTCTACGTACCAACTCGTATTTTATTTAGCTACATTTTTTTACGAATCACTTAAATAACGTTAGTATATCCGTTCTCATTTGTAGTTAATCTCATTGACATTTCGACAATTCTTGATTCTACCGTGCAGAAATTCTTCTTGATTCTACCGTGCTGCAAGACATGCATTTTGCTATTGTAAATTTTTTTGGTTATAAATTTTCTGTAAATTTGCCTGTAAATTTTCTACCTTATGTGACGTAAAAGCAATAATCGTTCTTGGGTCTTTTCATGATTACCGAGAATCCGTTTAGGCCCATTTTTTTTTAATTTTCCTTTTTTGTAATTCCTTAGCTAATAAACAGCCTTGGTAACTAGCAGGATGTGCCTCTCTGAAGTTTGCACATCTGCTGTAGCAAAACCTATTCAGCAAAATCTGTGGATGTCCGAAAATCTGGCAGCTCTCGCATTGCAAAAGAGATCTATTACTTTTAAGGGCCTCAACTTTTACTTTCATTTACTGAAGATATTCTATTTTATATATCTTATTTATGTCTTCGGTATAATCGAAGAACAACATGAAAAGCGGAAACTTTTTAATAGTACTTATGCAATTTTAATTTGTTTTTTTAATTTTATTGTGACATCTACACATTTGAATCTCCCTTGGATAAGTTTGCAATTAATATCCTGTGGCTCAAATGATGGATGTCGGTTTCTGACCATCACTTTAATTGGCTTTTAAGTTTAGTATTTTTTTAAGTTTATTTTTTTTAAGTTTAGTATTTTTCATTAGTGGATATTTCTCTACTTAAGTGCTATTCATTATACTGGTGCTAGTTCAATTTCTCTTAGCTTTTTACCTGTTTGAGTTTTTTTTTTGATTTTAACTGACTAATCATGTATCTCGCTTTTTTACTCACTTTTTATTCACTTTGAAATCAGAATTCTCCGTTTCTCTAATGGACATTAAATTTTTTCAATAAGATTGTTTGTTTTTTCAATTAGATTTTTGCATTTTTTCTCAAAATATCGACTGAACGTCTCACTTTCATAAACAAATGAATAAATTTTGTATACATTTCAGAAAAAACGAGATACGCAATACAAAATTATTCTTCTGACTCGAAAATTACATTATATAAATATGTGCAATTCACATAAGGTAAAAAATTTACAAATCCACTTTTCTGATATAGCGAGCTTTTTACATTAATAGTTCAGTGGTTTTACTTTTGTTGTTTTCTTTAAACTTTCTTTTTTTATAACCTTCTATGATCTTTAAGTGATGTTTTATTTTTCACTGGCGATTACTCTGAAAGTCTTGAACATTCAGCTAAGCTGTCGCCGCCAGTCGTGATTTCTATCTACTTTTTGGTAGATGTTCCTACCACATTTATATTCTTATATCGGAAATTTCATACTTAGCTATAAGATATATGGCTACTAACCCAGTACAGGAAGCCATTCCATTCTGCCTGGACTTTGTTCGGATTTTAGTGGACCACAAGCATGCCTGCTGTTGATATTTATATCCTACAACAGACCGGGTGGTTGACAGCTTTACGATTTTAAAATTTTTCAAAACACTAATTTTACTTTAAAAATTTGGAAAAACTTAAAACATTGAGAAAATGCCATCATTTTATCTCATTTTTTCTCAAAAAGTGTTATATCAGACTCTGCATGCTAAACCTTTATAAATTTTTTCAAGTTTTATAAAAGTGTTGAAAAATTTTCTTATATCAGCCCGACCTTATAGACTAGCACTACTACTAAAAAAAATATATTTCACTCAAAATTGAAAAACTTGATTTTCAAATTTTTAATTCCCCTTGTGGTCTAGGACAAATATCGCCAAAAGACATTTGACCCATAAAAGAATATTTTATTTTTATGATGAGACTAATTATATTACAAAAATAATGGCAGTTTTCAAAAAAATTCATTCGAAAATTAAGAAACATTTCAATTTTGTCAGTTTTTTGCTAACTAGTAATAACAACCACAAAAACTCACTACAAATTTTTCACTTTGTGTACAATGACTCCAGCTGAATATGTTACAATTTTTAACGATATGTACGCATTATATATCAGTTGTTTTGCTTTCACTGGGACGGTGCTTGCTGTTAGGCATATTAAAGAGAATAATACTTTTTCTAACTGTTTGATGTGCTTATTCCATTTTAGATGTTAACCTATGCAGATGCCTAGATTGTTAGACTTCAAGATAAATTAAGCGCAACTGAAATTAACTTAAAAAGTTAATTTTGCTGAAGTTATCAGAACTTTGTAAAAACTTTAAAAAATTTTGTAGTTTCATTTCTTTTTTCTTTTAAACAAAATATTAAAAAAATTTTCTCCAACTTTTCTGATACATTAAAATATGTTTTTAATAAATTATAATTATTGCAAGAAGAGAAAATATCGTGTAATTTATTATAATATTATTAAATTAATAAATTAAAGGATATAAAATTTGAGAAGATTATTATCTTCTCAAATTTTAAAAAGATATATTATTATTATTAAATGTAAAATATTTAAATTTAAGGATTTAAAATATATAATTAAAGACAGACAAAATAAATTTAATTTCGTCTGTTTGTAATTAAAATTATTATCATTATTATACTTTTTATTGCAGATGGAAAAAGTCAAATGTATAACTATTATATAAAAATAGTTCCCACCATGTACAAGAAGAATCATACTCATATAATAAACACCAATCAATTTTCTGTTACTAGGCACAAAAAAGTTTTAAATGATAACGAAAAGGGCATGCCAGGGTTATTTTTTAGTTACGAATTTTCACCACTGATGGTTAAATATTCCGAAGAAAAAAGGTGAGTTTAATAACTAATTTGTAGTTTCGTTACATTTTGTTTTGTTTATTTTGTGCTTACGAAATTATTTAATAACTTACTGCATGCTACTTCATGTCTAAGTTTGAAATGTTTCAACAAGTTGAGTGTCAGTGACATGTTCTAAACTCTATTTGGAACAAGTAACTGATACAAAGCCAATTTGATTCTACCCAAAAAATTTGTTGTACGTTGATAGTTCAAATCTTCCTGTTAGAAAGCACTTGATCCACTAGGTTAGAGTTAAGTTAGGGTTACGCGACTATCATAAGATATTTATTCATAAGTCATCCGCCGGATTCCCAAAATAACTCGCCTTCACAAGAACCAGCACGATCTTTGCAAGAACAGGGTAAGGTCCCTGATATTTACATTCATCAGGCCCGCAGTCCGTAAAAGAAAATGGCCCAAGGCATCTGCGCCTGTCGGAATTCAAACCAAATCAATTTCGAGCTGATCTGCCTGGTTGTTGATGAAGATGCTGGTTCCCATACCTAGGATACCATGATGCCGACCTGCCAACGCATAACCTTGCTTATCACAATCACCTCCGCCTGAAGGGCGCTGCAATGGTCGTACCATCAAGTATTAACGAAACCACGCTTGGAACTTTGTATTTTGTACTGTAGATGACCATCTCAGTCTTCTGCAAGTCCATTGTTTACTCGCAGTCAGTAAGCCAGCCGCAGACGAGATTTGAAACTCTCTGAGTTAGCCCATTTAAGACACCTAGGTGCTTCCTGGAGACAGCCACTACGATATTATCAGCGTAAGCAACCACCTAGTAGTCCTCATCTTCCAGACGTAACAAAAGTTGATTTACTACAAGATTCCGGAGAAGAGACGAGAGCACGCTCCCTTGGGCATTGCCTTATATAACACACCGCTGAACACACAAACCCCCAAAATGCGCTTTTGATTTGTGAATTGAACGTTAATCAGCAGATCCAAAGATTCCGCAACAGAATTTGTTTAGTTGCTCTCAGAAGCCGTGAGGTGACTTGCCACGACTGGGAAATCGCCGCTGTAAAATAGCCTGTAATTGTGCGTCCTGAGTCCACAGATTCAGAGACATACTCTGGTGGCATTGGCCAGTTTGACTGTAGCCGTGCGTGTATGGTTAAGTTAAACTCCCACACCATTTTTACGTTTTTTAAGTTGCTCAAGTCTGTTTAACTTTTTTTTCAAAATGGAAATTTTTTTGTTTAGAGAAACTTTTTTCAAATAGGCATTTTATTTAAGCAGCATTTTCGGCCAGCATCATTTTCATTTCTAAATTCAGAGAATATAATTTTTGAGTAGAAATACCATTTGCAGAAACATCATTACAACAAAAAGAGCTTTTGATATTGAAGCAACATCATCAGCAACTGAGAGGGATTTAATTTGCAAGTGTGATGTAGTCTGCAATAGGTTATTATTGATATTGGTGATACCACATTTTACCCTCCCAGCAGGTAGTTTAGAAGAATTAATGAGAAGAAAAAATGTTGTCACCAGAGAGAGAGTGCAAATGCAAAGAGGAACACGTGGTGCATTTGAATGGATTTTTGTTTTTTTGATAAAATTCGACTACCACCGAGTAGAGTTTAGCGCATTCAGCGTGCAAAAATCTCTTGCATTGAACTGATAGCCGATTTCTCTCAACTCTTTCTTTGCATTCACAAGATAAGAATCCTTTGGAACTGACAAATCTAAAACAATTATAAACCCACAGTAGTTAAATATTACAATTTACGTATATACGTTATCAATATATTATAATAGTGTATAAAACTTTCATTAATTTTTTTCTTCTTTAAGCTTTTTCTTTTTTTACTTTTTATTTTTAGTATTATTATTTTAATGCTAAGAAACAGTATTAGCAAAGAAGTGTTAAGTCTTCAACACTTCGAAGTAAACAGAAAATGAAGATTATACATTAATATAATAATAATAGATTTATACATTAATATAAATAAAAGTGAATAAATGGGAAATAAGTAAATTCAATATTAAACATTTACTTTATCGGTGCAGTTAATTCTAATATTGATAATATTTTCCGAGTATTTAAAATGAAAGTGCATAAAGGTGGCTTTTTTATTAGATCGAATTGTTTTCTGTTTTACTAATTAACTTAAGACTATAACAATTCTTATTTTGTTAATTTTTTTTTTTAATTTCAAAATATCTTTTTTAAGTATATGTGCTTATTGCTTTAATTATTTATAATATATTACATTATAGATTTGGGAAAAAAATATATAAAACATCCATTTTAGTCATTATTTATTTATTATAAAAAAACCTACTTTAAAACTTACTTTACTCTAACCTAACTTAAATTACCTTAACCTATAAAATATTACACGTCATGTTGAGGTTACAATATCTTAGTTCGGCCAGAAATAAGTAAGAGAGATTGAATTCAAAATTTTTGATTAGATTTCGTACGTACACCGGAATTAAATTTTTCAGAAATTGAAAATTTAAAAGGGACTTTTTTCTTTTTGGCCCAAAATAATCACTAAAACAATAAAATCCAAACGTAAAAAAAAAAAAATAAAAAAATAAAAATTTTAAAATTTGAGAATTTAAAAAACAATATTAAATAGTTTTGAAAAAAAAATGATGCTGATGAATTTGAAAGAGCCATTTTAAAAGCTGGCATTTTTTATAGCGGCACATCATAACTGAATATTGAAAATGGCTGCTAAAAAACCATTACTTAAAGCCTGTTCCTTTTCATGTTTTTGACATTGGTTTTCTTCTATAAAATAGGTTGTAGAAATCTGAAACTTTTCTAGCTTTTAGATACTAATAAAAATTTTTTTCCAAATCCACCCCCACAAGTTTTCATCTTTCGAAATATGTAAAAGTCGCATTATTTGTAGCATATATTTCCGAAATTCCAAGTTTTTTCAAATTTCTATGAATGAAAGCTCACAACCAATGACGCGATCAATCCTTGAATTCGATAATTATGTTAATACCTGCAGTTTTTCTTAAAGCGATATTCTCACTTGGAAAAATGCTACTTTACAAACTATTTGAAGTTTGAACCAACTTTATTAATTTTTTTAGTTACTTTTAATAAAAGAACTTTTCAATTTGTAAATAATTTACTTTGTGCGTAAAAAATAAATATGTGTGAGTGCCTACACATACTATGATAAAATGTGAACATAATAACGCAGTCAGTACTTTTAATAATAAAAAAAAAAGCATGGTGTCTTTTTGAAAAAAAAATGTTGAAAATCAAATCATATGGACTGAATAATATGATTTCAAGATTTAAAAATTTTTAAATTTTTAGAAAAATTTTTGAATTATGTATTTATTATAAGTATATATTGTTATACGTAATTCTAAAAAAAATATTTGTATTTGTATTTTTCATAAATATACGCACACATGAACACCTTTTTATTAAATTTTTTTTTTTTTAAGAGAAATTTCTATTTTTCAATTTTTTAAAAATAATATTGGTTTAAGTCAGAAATTACAATTTTACTATTTTGTTTTTGTACCTACTTGAATACCCTCATATATTTTGCAACTTTCAGTATATTTTTTTTTAAAACTGAAAAACAAAAATTTCACATCCAAAAAATTGAAAAAAAAAAATTTAAAAAGCTGAAAAGTAGAAAAATAAAATAAACACGTTTATCTCTGTTAGGAATGTACATATCAAATATTAAATCCGTTCTATATATTTCTAGAATCAAATCAAAAGCCTTGTGTGTGGCCTTCTATTATAGTGATATAACATACGTTTGGTTTTGAATGAGTCCTTTCGAATCTAAATATTTTTTTCTAAATATTTTTCATCTAAATTTTTTTTTTCAACTAGGTGAAAAAATCTCGAAAGATGAAGGACGGTGCTACTTGCCTTTTCCCTCCGACAGTGGGGGAGCGTGACTCCTACATTAAAAGATCACCTAAACTCTAAACGGATAAAAGTGGTCCTACAGACCAACTATTACCTCCGCGCTAACTTGGTTTTTCCGTACAGGAATTAAATACCTTCTACAAGAAAATTGGTATTTTGTGTAAATAAACTATTTTTAGCAACCTGTCAGTCTGTGTGTGCACGCGTCTCTCTCAAGTTAGACGAACCAATTTTGATGGAATTTTATATGTAACTTTATTTCGACTATGGCACGGATTGATCAACTTTTGGGGTATATCAGGCCCCGTGAACTGGTCTTTTTTTTCGGGCTTGTTTTACATTTTTGATCATTTTAAGGTAAATATTCAACAGATTTATTAATATTTAAATTAGGGGTGTTAAAGTAATGAATCTATAAATTTTTTGGAAAGATCAGAAAGCTCGGAAAGTGATATATCTACCGAACGAATTGATTGAATTTCTTGAAAATCGATATTTGAGTTCTGATTTATTACCGAAGCTAACTGACGAACTGGCAGAATTCGGGTTGCTCAAAGCGCAACTCGACTAAGAGTTTCTCTAATATACATTTTTCTAGATATGTTAACTTAAGGCTTACCAACGCCCTAAAAATTGGAAGGAAGTATTTAACAGCCATTTTTACAATATTCTGTAACACTTTCACTTAACTAGAATTGATTGAATTTCTTGAAAATTAATATTTGAGTTCTGATTTATTACCGAAACTAACTGACGAACTTGCAGAATTCGGGTTGCTCAAACCGAAACTCGACTAAGAGTTTCTCAAATATACATTTTTCTATATATGTTATTTTAAGGCTTACTAACGCTCTAAAAATTGGAAAGAAGTATTTAACAGCCATTTTTACAATATTCTGTAACACTTGCACTTAACTAGACAATATACATTGCGATTGATTATGTGCTGACCACACATAAAAAATTTTTTTAAATCGTTTTGTTCTAGTTTTTTGTTATAATTGTTCCTTTATGACGGATTGCAGTGCAACCACATGGCAGGTAAAACTAGGTAACACAAAAAATTATAGAGTTTTATTTATTTTTAACAGTGAATTTATAAGCATTTTTTAAATTTTTGATGTTTCGATGTTGTTTTTCTTTTGGACCTCAGGTTGCAGGAATCTAAAATTTTAGCAGTTTTTAGACATTATTAATACTTCATTTCGTTAGAAGAAAATTTTTTACACCTCTACTTCTTCTCAAATTATCGCCTATCGAAATTTGTAAAATTTGAGTTTTTGGTATCTAATATTTCTAAAACTGCAAGCTTTTTCAAATTTTTTAAATGCAGAAAGCTAACGGTAAGTTCCGTGCTAATGTCTTTATATCTAACAAGTCCCAATGCTAAGTGTCTCTCTTTTTAGATACTGTTAGATTTTTATATTCATACTGGCAACAACATAAATACATTGTAACTTATGTTATTCAGCATAATGCAACTCTCTTTCCTCCTACAAAACATAATAATTCATTATTTCAAAATACTTTGTATACATTATATATGTTAAAACATAAATCAATTATGTACGCATATTTTTTTGCTTCTCAATAAACTATCATACAGCACACACGTACTAAATATGTATATTATAATAAAAATAAAATATATTTAACATAGCTTATGGAAGCAGGTAGATGAGAAGTGTGAATATAAAAGTATTCTTAAAAATTTTTAAACCAACAATTTATAAAACGTTTTATTTTTTATAAAATTTTAGTTAACAAATTTTTGAGAGATGACTTGTAATAATGCAATAAAAATTAAATATTTGACCATCGATACCTATGACACGTGGAAGGTCTACATGGAATCGTTATGATGAAGAATGACCTGTGGGATTATGTAAGCGGAAGTATCAAGAAACCAGTTGCGAAGCCTGAAGAATCCAATAAGAAGATCATAAAATGGGAGTGTTTAGACAAAAGGGCTAAAGCTGATTTAGTATTGAATATACATTCGTCGTTTTTAAAGGAAATTAATATGTTATCAGATTTTCGCTATCTTATTTAGCTTCGTAGATACGCCGATGTCATTTTGATTCACCTCCACTTAAAATTCGATTTGGGATGCATATTGGTCCATATCCAAAATTGTTGGTGTATGGATCAAATTTTCATATAAATTTCTGGAAAAATTTTTGAGTGCTATAATGATCCATGTCATACAAAATTTTACAAAAAAATTTTTTTGTATGACATGGATCATTGTAGCACATAAACTGTAAAACATAATTAAACAATCCAATTTGGCTATTTACACAGTTCCAAAATTTTTTTCCGGTAAATTATTTTTTAATTTATTTACCTTACTTGTTTTTTCACATACTTAACTAAATAAAAAATATTTTAAGGACTTTTAAAAGCATTAGATAGCTCTGTTCTTATATTTCAAGGAGTGCTTACAAAAAACCGTGTAGAAATTTTACTTTTGCTAAATGTTTGTAAACCTGAAACAAATTTTTATTATTCTCCTTATAAAATGCCAGTTATTTCAAATATTTGAAAGTCTCTTCTTACAAAATGGAATAATAACGAGAATGTCCGCTATAAATTCATCTATTAATTAAATTTTGTTGTTATGGCACTGGTCCTTTAACTGAATGGTTCAAAGCTCAGTCAAGTCACTATAAAAATTATATTCAATATTATATAGCTTTATGTATAACCTATAAAAATAAAAAAAATAATATTAACTAATTGCCATATTTCAATAATATTCAATATTAAAAAAAGTACCAGCAAAATAAAAACAATAAATATAAATAACCTTAAATATCTAATATTAAGAAAAAATTACGGTAGGTTCGTCACCTACTTAGTAAACCCAATGACGTCAGAAACTTGTTCATGGTTATATACAATAATCATACACCAGCCCTATGCTCCTCCTAGGTGCGAAGTAGGATAAAAAAAAATTTAATTTTGTTCTTCTAAATGCAAAAATTGAGAACTCAATATTGTTTTTCTTTGGAATAATTTGAAAAACATCAGTTTCATTTACGATTCGTCATTAACTACTTGAGTTTATAGACGACACTTAATATATGATTGAAGTACTTTTTTTATCACTTCTTATGTTCATTTTTTGAACAGATATACAGCAATCCCTCCTATAACGTAACCTCTTACTATATAATTTCGATATATGTAAATTTTATTTTTCCTACTATTTTCACTTAATGTAATTTTTACCTCGTTTTACGTAATTTTAAAATAATTTAATATGCAATAATCTATTTTTTTTTTCATTTAAATTTTTTTCTTTACCAGCAGACAACTTACTAGTTTAGGCAAATATCAAGTACATACATACATATGTATGTACATACATATTAGTCATATTAGTTTAGTTGGACTATAATGTAATTTCACTTAACGTAAAAATTTTTCGGTCCCAAAAATTACGTTATAGGAGGGATTGCTGTAGTTGAGTATTATGCGTCAGTATAAGCCTTTCGCTGACAAATTCAAATTATACATTATACAGAAAACGCCTGAACATTGCTGTCCTTTAATGTTCAAATCTTTTAAATACAAATAAAAATGTTTCAGTCAACCTTTACAGATATAAATTGTAAATATTCCCAAAATCTTTAACGTCAAAATTTTGTTTTCAGTGTGCAAACTGTTCGACGTATAAAACTTTTACGGACAGAAATGTAGTAAACTTTTTCCCCGTAATTTTTTTTAGATTTAAAATAATTTCTTATTTTCACGATATAATATTTTTTTAAAAATCAAAATAAAACTCCAAAAGTTATTTATGTATATAAAAATATTTTTAGGTATTTTTAGATGTAATAATATAGAAGGATAGTGATAATTGTTTTTTCTTCATATAAACTCTATAAATTTTTTTAAAAATCATAAAATGAAAATGAGAGTTTTAAAGGAAGAGCTTTTTTCCTCGTAGGGTAAGTTAACTCAAGGTATGGAAAGTACTGCAGTGGCAAGTCGAAAATATAATTATTGAAAGAATAAGTATTGAATATCAATATGAATACATAGTAAAAAAAAATATGAAAAGGGAATCAGAAAATGATATCTAAAATACAATTAAATATTATTTTACCAATACAAAGTTTATATATATGTACTTTAAAATTTTACCTCAATTTTTACTTGAGAAAAATTTTAAAAACTTAATATATAAATTATCTGAGTAAAAAAAATATTAAAATGTTTTGGAAAAGACAATTATATATTTTTATAACCGGACTTGAATATTTTTTTTATTTTTAAAAAAAATTGTACCTTAGTAAATGATTCAAAAATTCCGATTGTAAAATGATGTAACGATTGTCAAATTTTTGTCCGTTTGCGTTTAGTATTAAGATAGGCCATCATACACAGGCAAGCCCCTTTTATAAATAGATTACTCTTATTTACCTGCTAATAAAATATGAAAGGAGAGCACAAATAAATTTTGCAAGCACTAAATATAACATGTTTAACCTAGTTTTAAAATAATTATGAGCAGAAAAAATTGTTTGCAAGTAGGTACATACATATTTATTTTTAGCAGCAAAAACTAATTGAAATAGAATTAAAAGAACTTATAGAATTTGAAACAATTCTATAAGTATCTTTTAATTAACTGAAATGAGGTAATAATTCATTGTTCAACAAATTGTTGAAATTGAAATGTACCACATTATATTATTTTCATTACCATTTTTGTTGGCGGGAATTACGTATCGTATTGACATCGTATAGAAAAAACAATGCGAATTTAAATTATCAAAATTGCACTTTATTTATTTATAATTCAAAAGTTTAATTAATTTACTTAACTTAAGATTTATTCTGATCCTGTTCGTTTTATTTCTACAGTATTTATACATATTTTGTGTTAGTTCAGCAATTTTATTTGAACAAAGAAATTATAAAAGTTAGGTAACAATATATAAGCAATAAATCGGAATACTTAGTAAAAAAAATTGAGTATTGGGATTTGTTAGATAAAAAGACATTATTCGTGTCATCAAAAAACATAATTATTTTTATTAACTCTAAATGCTATAATAACTTAAAGTTGAGCATTATGTTAACAGCTCTTTAAATTTATTTTTCATTTATTTCAAAGACTGCATAAAACATGCTAAATGCATGCAATCTTTGAAATAGTTTGGTATATGAATGTAAGTAATTTATTAGTGTAGTAGATATAGTACATAGATTGTTTTTAAAAACAGTATTTTCACTTGATCCACCATTAGTTTATTCATTTTCATACATTTATTCATGTTATTCATTTACACTATTGAACTATTACTGTAATAAACTATTATTGTCATAAACTACAATATTTAGTAATATTTATTTATTTATCTATTTTTTGGGAATTATTTTTTTCGCATATCTGGAGCATATATTGAATTTTACTGGACATTCTTCAGTTTTTCTAGAATTATCAAAAGTCTGAGTCCACACGCAGCCTTTTATGTTACACATAAATTTTCAAAACACGTATATTTTTAAAATTATTATTTTTGTAAGACGTATATGTACATACGAGTATGTATGTATGTATAATGTTATGATAGTTTTTCATATTTAAAAATTCTATTGAATAATTTTAATTTTTCATTGAATTTATTAAAAGAATAATTATAAATATATTCCACTAAGCTATTTTTCTTCGTAAATTTTTATATGAAAAAATTTAATTTTTTTTTCAGATCATTTGGCCACTTTGCTACCAATTGCTGTTCTATTCTGGGAGGAGTTTTTACAGTAGCTGGAATATTTGCTAATATATTACAAAATATGTTTGATTTATTAAAACATAAATTATTACATGGCAAATTAAATTAGTGTAATTATTTCTTAAAATATTACGAAGCGAACGTTTTATATAAATAAAAGAAAAATAACATAAGTTAAGATTCAAGTTTCTGAAAATTTTTGCAATAAAAATTTTTTACAATACTGCATAAGTTGAATTATTTATTTAGTAATTTTCATTTTTAGATAATAGAAGGAACTTGTACAAAAAGTAAAAGAGACCTTACATTATTAAAAAAATTTTATTTAATATGTTGGGAGGGGCAAAATCAGAATTCATAATTAAAATCCATAATAGTAAGCTAACTAATTTGAGCTTGCTCTCGTGGGGAGGAAAAAGAAAATAATCATCATCATTAAGATAACCCAAATCTTAAAAAATGTCCTTAAATTGACTTAATTCTATTAATATGAGCATTGTTATATGGTGACCGTACTTACGCAGCGTATTTGATATAAAAACGCACAAGAGAAGAGCACAACAAACGATTTGAAAATGTACGAATTTTTAAACTTTTTAGAGCATAGTTTATTAAATCCCAATAAAGATAAGAATAAATAATGGAAATTTCTTCATACAGCTGCAGAACAGATGGATGACGTAATGAAAGGAACCAGTTATAGGTAAAAATATTAAAAAACTTTTTTCCTCGAACTGCACTCGAACCAGTGACTTATTGCTTTCTAAGCGGAAGCTCAACCAGCTGAGCTACAGACGCATGAGCAAATTGCCGACAAATTGTTCTCCACATTGCTTTATATTGTAATTTACATTATTAGCAAGTATAGTTTAAATGAGACGCTATATGCAAGCAAAAATGCAAAATATGAATAAATTATAATATATTTGTTTTTTAAATGTAAAAATATATTGTTTTATTGACCAAGTGTCGTACCAATTAAATATGTAAAATATTGGGAATTTATAAATATGATCTTGGTTTGATTAATAAATTATGAACGTTATTAAATTCAGTACCTTAAAATATTTGTATTTTCACATTGACTCTAGTTACTTGAAATTTATATTTACGTATATAGATCACACTTATGGAAGCTTTGTAAATGACATAGGTTTTCCAAACCTCAGTTACGTAATTTTTCTCTAGCCTTACTATTCTTTTTGCTATAATAATATATACAGAGTGTAAATGACCATATTCACTTTGTTGCATTATTATTGTTGCTATACTGAACGCATCCGAATGGCAGCACAGTTTTTTTTTTCAAATTGGCAAATTTTAACAAAAGCTTTGAGCTCGGCAGTTTATACGCATTTTAAGAGGTTTATAGCTTGATTACAATCTTTTTTTAAATGGTCGCTAAAACCGCAAATATAACAGTGGAGATTAGAACTTTTTAGAACTTTTCCAAAATTTTTTTGAAAAAAAGTGCTTATTAGTTTCATTGACCCTTATTCTAGTTGTCGAAGTAGAGCGACAATTGTCGTTACGACTTGAATTTGATATTCTAAGCGGCGATCGCAGTGACAATCGTCGGGGAATAGCGGGAAAATGTGTTTCATTCATATTCCAGTTGTCGTTCCGATGCGGGATATGTCGTAGTGAAACGACGTTTGTTGTCGAAAAGTATTTACAAGTGACAAGAAAGAAGGATACACCAAAAATGCAAGTTAAAACAAAACAATTTAACAAAATCATAAAAAAATTAATTTTATACATAAATCAAGTCATAAAATATATAATTTAATTTTTGTTTTTACCGTGAAAGTATTTACAAGTTTGAAGAATTGGAAATTTCATGACAGGGCATGCCTTTTACGGGTACTCGTTTTTTCCTCGAATATATTCTGTAAATATACAAAGGCCTACTTTGGAAGTCTGTAATAGTCTATAAATCTGTGAATTAAATAAAATGTTTGCAACTAATTTACTAGAAAAAATTTGGCAAATTCAATAGATTAGAGCTGTCGCTAATTTTAAATCTTTCGATCCTTAATTGTTGTTTTTTTGTAACTTCATCACTACCGGAATGAGATGAATTCGTAAACCATAATGCAAATGACATTTTTTATTATTTAAAAATATAAATATATACACTGAAAATTTTTTTTAGTTTGTACTTTACTCGCCGAAATTTCTTTTTAAAATGTATCAATTTCACTTCAAACGTTTCATTTTCGATTATTTCTCGCACTCACGTCACTCGACAACCAGAATACCACATTTCAAATGATGTGACAGCGACAACGACAAATGTCACGCAAGTGACACGACAACTAGAATAAGGCTCATTATGTCCGTCCGTCCGTCGTCGACATTTTTAATAAAACTTCTACACCCTTGAAGATAGA